CTTCCTTCCTTCCTTCCTTCCTTCCTTCCTTCCTTCCTTCCTTCCTTTCTGGCTTTCTGGCTTTTTTTGCTCTATCTATCTATCTATCTATCTATCTATCTATCTATCTATCTATCTTTCTTTCTTTCTTTCTTTCTTTCTTTCTTTCTTTCTTTCTTTCTTTCTTTCTTTCTTTCTTTTATCCATTCATCCATCCATTCATTCATTTGCTATATCAATCTTCTATATCTTCTACAGAGATCTTTCTTTGTAGCAATTCCAGCTTAAATCTAAAGAGTATATGTAATTATAATTGTACTAGTTCTACAGAAAGGTAAGTAGGTACAGAAGTAGGTAAAGTAAATAGGTACAGTTCTACAGAAAGGTAAGTTGGATGAGTGCTGTTAGTTTTAGATTCTTATCAGAAAATGTTTATTATATGCTGCTTTGAAATCTTCTTCAGAATCCGAAATCTCAGGAACCCGTGACTCTGGATTTTCTGGATGCAGAGTTGGAGAATGACATTAAAGTTGAGGTACGTTGGAGTCATCATTTGAGATTTTCCATGATGACAATACAAGTTAGTTCTGAAGCAAATACAAAGGTCAGCAGCCATCTTAGGCTTTTGGGGCTCAATTTTTTTTATAGCATCTAATTTTTCTTTTGTGCCTCTTGATGGCCCAGTATTCTTAAGACAGCATTCTTCAGAAGAAATTTGTAAGAATATTTTGTCATGAAGGAATTAGGCAAATGTCCTAATTGTCTTCCAGATTTCAACATAAAATTTAGGGGGAGGGAGAAGTTTCAAAAATTAAGATGGAGGGCACGACACTGTGACCAACATTTTGTCTTTTTAGATACAAGTGACAGTAACACATGAACTAAAGGTTAGACTTTGAATATGAGCCAATCTACCATCTTGAAGTTTTTGACTCTCCTTCCCCTGGACACCTCTGATAGGCAACATTAATAAGATTGTTATCCAGTCAGCTTTCATGATCTAACAAGCAATCATTCTTTACCATAACATACAAAGAGTTGGATTTTTATTGTTTTGCCTCCTGGAGTTTTATCTGTTTGGCTATATTAGCATATCACTATAGTGTAAATGTTTTTTTTACCCAATACAGGGACAAATAAGGGGTACAAAATCATAAAAAGATATATAAAGAATGTAACAACAAAGCTTTAAACCTGATGGGGAATGACGGATTTTAGGGTCTTTCTTAAGAATTTTCAAGAATTTAGATAAATCAAAGGTAACAGAGGAAGGAACGGTACTTCAGCTAAGATTTCAAACAGTTCCTGTAACATCTGCAAAAGACATTAGATATTGATTAAATCTGTGGTTCAATTAATTGGTTGGGAAGAAGAGAAAATAGAATCAGAAATACATGAACTATAGAATAAATTCCCTATTTGCATAGAAAAAACTACTGAGAAATGTTTAACTTCACTTTGTAAGAAGAAAAACAACTACAGATAAAAGATATTGTGGACTTAATGCATGGCAAATTTTCCTATCTAATGTAGATTGAACTATGACTAAAATATATAAAATAATTACTTGTTGTCCCTGAAAATTAATGACAACATTCAATGGTTCTTTGATTATCACGTTTGATTAAAGTTTATGAAAACATTTCTTCTTGTAATATTTAGAACATGGTCAGAAGGAACAATGCTTAGAATAGCACTAGCAGTAGCCCTTAGACTTATATACCCCTTCACAAGGCTTTACAGCCCTCTCTAAGTGATTTACAAAGTCAGCTACTTGACCCCCAACAATCTGGGTCCCCATTTTACCTACCTCAGAAGGATGGAAGGCTGAGTCAACCTTGAGCCGGTTAGGATCGAACTCCTGGCAGTGAGCAGTGAATTAGCCTGCAATACTGCATTCTCACCACTGTACTACCAGGGCTTAGAATAGCAATAGCACTTAGACTTACATACCTCTTTATAGTACCTTACAGCCCTCTCTAAGCAGTTTACAGAGTCAGCCTCTTGCCCCCAACAATTTGGATCTTCATTTTAGTGATCTTAGAAAAATGGAAGGCTGAGTTAACCTTCAAGCCAGTCAGGATCGAACTGCTAGCTGTAGACAGTGAGTTAGCCTGAAATACCGCATCATAAATAAGTATGAAGTGACTTCTTAATTTTCTTAACCTGTAGATTCGGAAAAAGATGATTGACGGTGAAAGTGGTGACAGGACCTTTCAAACACTGGTCAAATCTCAAGATGAGGTGAGAATACAAAGATTTGCTTTCTGAGAAAAAGAAATAAGTTGGCTAAATGGACGTAAAACAAAAATGGCAGAAAGTTAAGGCTCTAATAGTCACAAGTCCAGAGCTAGAAAACTAGAAAGTGGATCATGGCAGGTGCTCATAGGGAACAAAAATACAAGATTCCTCTTCCTTCCAAGCCTATCCTTTTAACTATTACACAAATATAGGTAGTCCTTGACTTACGACAATTCATTTAATGACTGTTCAAAGTTACAACGGTACTGAAAAAGGTGATTCATGGCCATTTTTCACATGAAATCCCCATGATCACATAATCAAAATTCATGTGCTTGACAACTGATTCATATTTATGATGATTGCAGTGTCCCAGGGGGGTCATGTGATCCCATTTTGCGACCTTCTGACAAGCAAATCCACATTCATTTAACAATGGTGATACTAACTTAACAGCTGCAGTGATTCACTTAATGGCAGTGGCAAGAAAGGTGGTTTAATGGGGCAAAATTCACTTAACAACTGTCTTGCTTAGTAACAGAAATTTGGGGCTCAATTATGATTGTAAGTCAAGGACTGCCTGTATATGTATGTTTGACTAGTTCCCATCTCTTGGGGAAGTGGGAAATCTTCACACTAACGTTTGTGAAGTTGCAAGAAGAAAATAAAATATTTGTCAGGTTTCCCAGTGATGAAAACCATTTAAAAAGAAAAGAGCAAAGTCCATCTTTCAAAACAATTTCTTTTATTTAGGAAAGCATCAAATTGGCAATGTCTGTTGTAATTCCAGATCTGACACAACTTCACAATTACACCACACAATATTGGAAGTTAGAAACAGCCCTCAAAAGTCACATTCTCCAATAGAAGTAAATCAACGTTGCCTGGTGTCATCACCTCCAGGTCTCAGCAGGGTCAGCTTTTGTTTCCACAGGAAGAAGAACCACCTAGCCTAAACAACTCTCTCTATTTCCACTCCTCCCAAGCCTGAAACCCTTCCCTCCATAACCAGCAAAGAGAAAGAAAGAAAGAAAGAAAAGGAATATATAATAAGGCTAAATAAAATGGCTACACATATGTCAATTTCAGGCTTGACAATATTATTGAGTGATTCCCTCCCATCCCACTTAAAGCATATACGTATATATCAAATCAAATAATTTTGATTGCAAACTTTGTTCAGGATGTTCACAGCTAAGTGAATACCAAAAGCTACTTTGGGGAATTCCAAAAAGTCAGAATCTGTTCATGCCTCAACTGTTTACGGATAGAATTAAGACACCTATTATAATTTTTCTGAATATTATTAGGAAGCCCACAATGCAGCTGCTGAACAATTCTTAGCTTTTCTAGAAATCATTGTTTCTGGTTATAATGCTACTATATGCTACCGGGAGCCAGGAGTTGTTGTGATAAATGATGAAAACCGAATAACTCCATTCTTTTGGGATATATTAACTCTGATTAAATCTCCACCAAGCGTCAGGAGACCTTCCAAAATTCTCCATTGTATTGCCTGCTCCATTCATCCCATTCTGTAATTAAACAAGCTGAAATGTTCAGATTAATGTTTGCAATGCCGGGATCAAGCTTGCATTCATCCTTCAAAGGATGTGAGTCGTAATGATCCTAAAAGAGGAATGAACAACACCAGGTCAATTTTTGCCTCCCTGATCTTTGAAATTGCATCCAGGATTGTTGGTCCCAAATGGCTAGAAATAATATTGACTGGAAATTGATTAAAGCAATGCAATAGTTCAGATCGAATCTTTTCACAGAACTGCAGACAGAAGCATCCTTCGTGTTGTGTTATTATTATTTTTAATGATAAATGCAGCATCACAATGGAAGCTCCATCCTCCTTGGACTTGATTGCCTGCCCCTGTCACCTTTGGTTGCAGCTAATTCATTAATGAAAGTGGAAGGAAGTTACAGAAAGAGCAAACTACTTTAGGGGTTGGTGAGCTGTATTCCAGATGCTGTCATGCACCAGGGAAATTAGGAGATTCAGGTAGTTTAAATGAGCATAAAGATTTACTGCAAGCTTAAGCTCTCTGCAAGAATCTGGCCAACTAACACTCAAGGGAAATGAGCGGGAGATAAGAAAGGCATTCAAGGTGGGCTGGACTTAGCTTTCTTGTCGGCATGCAGAGACTTGTGACTTATGACACATTTGACCTCTCCCTTGGGCTCAGCTTGGTCATCTCTTACATCTGCTTTCAATAACATAGATCTCATTAGCTTCAATCACATTAATGTTTCTAAATATCTTTTATTTGAATTATTATTCATTGGAGTCCATCTTAGCTGAAGAAGTTTGTCCAAACGCAGCAACAAATTGAACAATTTAAACAATCAGATTTTTCTACTTTTATTAAAATACTTTTCAAAATAGAAATCTGCACATTAGCTTCTGAACGAATTATGGGTTTTGTCCTAATGGGCTGAGATATAATGATCCTTGGTTCACTTTTCAGCAAAGCTTGATTCTTGAATCGTATGGCATGCTTAAGCTTTCCTGGGATTCTTGATAAAATGTTGAAATTCATTTCTATGCAATAACTACAGTATTCAGCCAGTAGATGGCAGTGTTTACAAGTTTGGATCTATGCTCTTTTGTTCTAAGTAGAGTTTCTTGTTTCCTGTTACAGTCAAATGGTTGAGCAGTAAAGCACATGGTGATTGTTCTCTTTGTGTGATCTGTGGTGTTATATATAAACAAAATTTCTAACATAAAATGATTTTTCTGGCCGATTCTTTTGCAGCGTTATATTGATAAAGGCAACAGAACGTACACATGGACTGCTGTGAATGGCACAGATTACAGGTAATCAATTAGGAATATTTTTTTTCAAAACAAAAAGGTTAAAATGCTATTGTTCCTGACATTTCAATAGTAAAAGCATCCTATGATATCTGTTGGATGGCTACCTTGCTCTGCAACCTTCTGAAAAACAGGATGAAAATCAAGGTAGAATCTTTTTCCTCTTATTCCTTTGTAACCAGTTTGTCTTTGGAAAAGTTTGTGTGGAAAATGATTTAGGCTCCCTGGTGCAAATATCTGTGAATATTTAATCTTTCCCTAAGGATTTTGGATAATTCTTCTCTAAGTTCCTCTTTAGTCCTCATCTTTCTTTTTCCCTAACCTTTTCAAAAGGTAGAAAGGTAGGAGAATTTTCCCTGATCTTAGAGATAAATTGATTCTAGGGGCACCAAAGATGCTATCCCAAGCATCTATAGCAGCCTTTAACTGATTTTTTTCATTACTCATGCAAACACTTATTAATTACCATCTATTAATTAATCCTTGGTTGTAAAAACAGAGGCATAGAATCAAAATCATGTGAAGTATTAGTACTGCTTTATAAAGCCTTAGTAAGGCCATACCTGGAATACTACATCCAGTTTTGGTCACCATATAACAAATAAGATATAGCCCTTTTAGGCATATATCAACCATGGGAAGTTAGGCTGAAAATTGCAATAAATAGAAGGCCTTTTCTGCACTGGAGTTGAAATTCCAGATGTTCAAAGGGTTCCCCCAATTATTTTTCCATGCTTTCGGTACCAAATTAGGAATAAGTCATGTGCTGTAAACAAAAACCTGGTGCTAAAAAAGGAGGTGGTACAAGCCACCTTTCATGCATCATGGAAGTTGATTTGAATTCTGCACATTTGGCAGAAAGTTGATGGTCCTTGTAGTCCCAATTATACAATTCTTTCTGGCCTTGACAACATAAGCCACCCAGAGCTGTTTAGCTATGAGATGGACAGGGAAATAAATTTCATAAATAAATCAGTAAGATAAACATTCCTGTAGCCAGAAAACTATCCAGGTCATTTACGGTTTTGCAAAATTCCATTATTCTTGCAATGATAGAGGGTAGGTGCCACATCTCAATGCATTTAAATGGAGATCCTTCCTCATCAACACTTCTGGTGATGGATTGTCCTGCAGCAATTGAAAGAATGAATTCATGGAGTGGCAATTTCTCTCCAAAGTTAATGCTGACATTTGCTCATTAGCCACCATTGTTTTTCCGTTTCCTTGCTCTGAACTGTAAACAGCAATTTCTCCTGACTTATTACTCTCCCTCTCTCAATGCTGCTTTGCATATGTAATATTTCTGCCCAATATTTCTGAAAGATCTTTTGAATTTGGAAAACAATAGCTGTGAAATCTCCTGGGAGCCTCAAGGCAATAGGCTTGTTTATACACACAATTATAGTTTTCAATTAGTTCCATTTTTTTTCCCTAGCAGGAACTGGGAATGGGAAGGAAAATCTCCCTGATTTCCCTTGGCAAATATTAGTGAAAAGATGTCACACGAGATAATTAATAATTCTTCTTCGAGCAGATTAAGTGACAGCCATAATGGTAATGACAAGAGTTATAGCTCAAGAGTCTACAATTTCTTCTTAATGCTAATTTCAGCAGTTATCTCAGGAAATATTAAACAATAAGCATCCCATAGTAATAAAATGGTGATGAAGCCCAAGAGGATGTAAAATATTCATGATTTAAACATGATTTTGACAACAGTCTATAATCTCTGAGGCTATTTTCGATCTTTCACTGCCTTGTTTAGATATACAAATTAGTTATGTTTTAATTACGTCTTGAAGCCATGCCACCCAATTCAAAAGTCCTTGCATTTTTTTTCACTTCGTGAACTATTATTATTTAGCATACGATGAGAACACGACAGAAGAGAAATAAACATATATACACAATCTATATAATTATAAGTCAAACTTCTGTGGGGGTATGGCAATGGTCTTACATCTGGATGTTCAATTAAACTATGCAGCAATCACTTGTGTTGCTTCGTGCAGAAATTCTAAGGAATCAGTGAACGCACATTGTGAGCAATTGTACAAAATATAACAATAGCAATAGCCCCTAGACTTATATACCACTTCACAGTGCTCTCTAAGAGGTTTACAGAGTCAGCCTATTGCCCCCAACAATCTGGGTCCTCATTTTACCAACCTCAGAAGGATGGAAGGCTGAGTCAACCTTGAGCCAGTCAGGATCAAACTGCTGGCAGTTGGCAGAATTTGCCAGTAATACTGCATTCTAACCACTGCGACACCACAATTCTTAGCAATAACAATAGCATTTAGACTTATTTACTTCCTAGTAATACTTTATAGCACTCGCTGAGCATTTACAATGTCAGCATAGTGTCCTCAACAATCTGGGTCCTCATTTTACTGACCTCAGAAGGACAGAAGGCTAAGTCGACCTTGAGCTGGTCAGGATCGAACTCCTGACAGTGGGCAGTGAGTTAGCCTGCAATACTGCATTGTGACCACTGCACCTGTGTGTTTAATAGTTTGCATATCCGCCCTACAATTGCAACAAGGGGAATCTGATACGGGGCAGAGGCACTTCTTCCAGTATCACATTTTGTGATACTGGAAGAAGCATGAATAAAACTGAATAAAAAACAGCATTAAATAAAGAAGAAGTGAAAGCGATAAATGGAATCGAGGAAGGAATTGACTGAATAAAAACAGTGTTAGATAAGGGAGTAGTTTTCATTGTTGATACTCTGGAAAGGAATGGACCAAATAAAAGCATTCCATCAAACCACACATCTATCGTTTTGTCCGTAGTTTTCAGGTTTACATCTTAACCTGGGGAACTGCTGTTAAATCTCAAATGAATATCAGATTATTCCTTGATTATAATTGTTTGGTTTCTTTCACAGCTTGGCTTTGGTATTACCATCCTACAGCTTTTACTACATAAAAGCCAAGATTAATGAAACCTTAACTCAGGCAAAGTGTAAGTAACTGTGAACTGACTGTTACAGCCCAGTGAGAATGATTCTGCCTTTTTTTTTTAACACAGCATTTTGAAAGCTTGTGAAATTCACTAATGTTCTTGTGATGTACCGCCCCCAATGCTACAGCAATGAGTCCAAGCCTTTGTGCAAATATCCAAGGAACAAAAAGTATTTTACCCAAGTAGAATACATTCTGTTACCCTACGGGCTTTAAGTACATCTTGATCTCATCTCATCTCTTGGTTTACCTACCCAGAGAATCATTGCTTTGCATATCCTCTGTTGTCTTTTGTAGGGTCTGATACTTTAGGTAATGTTTTGAATAGCTCACCAATGAGTTGTAAGTTGGGTAGAAAACTAGTGAAACTGATTTGTATGGTGCACCTAATACAGCTGCAGCCTGTGAAATACTTACTTCATGCTAGATGTTTATGGAGATTCTCTTAGACTAACTTGATTCTAACTTTAAATTTACACTAATCAGCATGCATTAAAACAGGGGTCTTCAAACTTGAGAGCTTTAAACTTGTGGACTTCAACTCTCAGAATTCCTCCTCCAGGCTTAGGAATTCTTAGGAGGAATTCTGGGAGTGGAATTCTTAGCTTAGGAATTTTGGGAGTTGAAGTACACAAATCTTAAACTTGCCAAGTTTGAAGACCCTTGTATTAAAATGTTTTATGGAAATTCTCCGTCATCCAGATCATGGTTGTCCCAAAGAGGCTATTTTTCAAGAGGTAACTGGACTTTCTGCTTTTTTCTTTGAAGACGGTTTGCTTCTCATCCAAGCGAAACATCTTCAAAGAAAGATGCTTCTTCTTCAGCACCGAAGAAGGTTCTTGGATGAGAAGTGAAAAGTGTTCGAAGAAAAACCAGAAAAAAACCAGTTGCCTCTTGAAAAAAAAGCACCTTTGGGACATACATTAAAACGAAATGTCATTGCGTTCAGCTCTCGAAGGGTCAATATACACTACATAAACATGACAAAATAAATAAATGATGCATATACCCACAAACCCACATATATTACATGACCCAATCATCCAGGTCATGGTGGTCCCAAAAGTGCTTTGTCCAAAAGCAATTGGACTTTCTTATTTTTCCTTATTTTGCTTCTCATCCAAAAAGCTTCTTCACCTCTGACTGAATGGTGGGGAATGGAAGGATTTATACTCCTTGCAGACAGCTGGTCATTTGCATTCTTTGAGACAGTCATTGAGGCCACTTGGAGGTTTGTCCCTGTCCTCGGGGTCACCTGAGTGGTGAACATGGTTCCTGTAGTCTGCAATTTTTTTTCTTCTGGAAATCCATTCCTACTCCTACACCATTCCAATTTTCGAAAGGGACCTGGGCATTCTTAAGTTTTTCCTTGAAGATGAGATTTACGTTCTTGATGCTTGAGCCCTGCTTCAGATTTACGACAGTTACAAGGTTGCAAAAGTTTTGCAACCTTGTGACCAGCGAAGTTAATGGGGTCAAAGCCAGACTCAGTGTCACTAACTGAACAACTGCAGTGGTTCACTTAACAACGGTAGCCAGAAAAGTCATAAAATGGGACAACGCTCCCTGAACAAACTTCTCACTGAGCTATGTAAATTCTGGGCTCAGGTGTGGTCGTACGTCGAGGACTAACTGTCCGTTAAAAAACCCTTGGCCAGAAACATGCACCAAAATTTCAGAAATACTGTTGTTTTATTTCCTCCAGAATATAGCTGTACAAAAACTGAACCTGCAATCTCTCTTTCTCTCTCTCTTTCTCTCTCTCTTTCTCTCTCTCTCTGCCACAATATTTTTATTCACGTGGCTAGTTGAATAAAATATTGGCTTGTGACCCCTTTTGTTTTACCCTGTTTTTTTTCCTGTTTTCTTGCCTTCTCTTTCTGATGGATTATCACAGTCTTAAAGGGCAAGTATATAACACTCTTGTTGCTAATTCCCCTTTGTGTATTATTGTTGTTGTTTGCCATTTGTATTTCATTTTTCCTCTTGGCTGCCACCCTTTGTACTGGTCCCTAAAAGTTTTTTTTTTATTCCCCAATGCTGGTTGGGTATCATAGAGGCAAAAAAGCTAAATGTGTCTAAAATGGCATTACATCTCTCCTCCCTCTGGCCCATTTTTGTGCGTTACTAATCTTATGACTACAGGGACGTGGTGGCTCAATAGCTAAATCGCTGAGCTTGTTGATCGAAAGGTCGGCAGTTCAGCGGTTCGAATCCCTAGTGCCACATAATGGGGTGAGATTCCATTACTCGTCCCAGCTTCTGCCAACCTAGCAGTTCGAAAGCACATAAAAAATGCAAGTAGAAAAATAGGGACCACTTTGGTGGGAAGGTAACAGCATTCTGTGCACCTTCGGCATTTAGTCATGCCGGCCACATGACCACGGAGACGTCTTCGGACAGCACTGGCTCCTCTTCGGCTTTGTAACAGAGATAAGCACTGCCCCCTAGAGTCAGGAACAACAAGCACATATGTGCGAGGGGAACCTTTACCTTTATCTTGTCACTCTCTGATCCTCATGTGTTTGCTCCTCTCCCTTGCTGTTTTTTGCAAACCATCTTCATTTTATTTCTGGTCTGGAGCCTTTACGCATTTTAGCAATCCTGAAATGCAATAACTCTCAAGTAAACTGAGTTAATTAGCACCCATTTTGCAAATGCAAATGAGTTTGGTTCTTCCATCCAGGTAGTTTCAATGGCGATGTGTCCAATCTGGGCATTCTTGACGGAGGTGGCAGAGAATGCATCCCACATTCATCGTCCCACAATTGCAAATGATACAAGGGCTGTTGTGATGTCACAGTGCTAATTCTGTTTCCTTTGTACGGCTTGCTTAAGGGCAGGGCTTGCATTGTGACATCACAACACACCCATTTCTTCACATTCGCCCGAATCTCTGGATTCAGTCAATGCCTCTGACGATGATTCAGCTCTCTTTTAAGTTGCAACAATTTTAGATTGTGGTTGTTTTTCCTAAGTTGCTATTTTATAATTGGATCTATTCCACATCTAATATGAAAACATATAAGCTATGGTCATTAGGCAAAGAAGATGACCTGGTCATCTGAACACTAAATATGCTTGTGTTTCATCTCAGTTGTCTACGAAGACTGGCTACGGTGCCTTACATAATCCATTGAATTAAATGTGGAATTCATCCAGGTGTTTTCGTGGCTAAACATTTTCGCCTGTCGACCAGTGCTATCAAATGTTGAATTTACTTCATTTAACATTTCGCTTTTCTCTTTGCAGTTATTGCAACTCTCAAGCGAGAATCCTTTGACGAAGTTGGATATACGTTTTTAGCACCCAGGTTAGTCATTTTTGCCAGTCGATCTTCATGTTGCCAAATATTAAATAATATTTCTTGATTGATGTAGTAATTACTTCTGGAGGAATAGGACTATCTAATAAAGTAGAGCAAGTCAAGATTAAGGCCCTATTGAATTTAAAGAATAGATTGTGAATAAATATTGCAGCCAGTTTTGGGTGCCACAATATAAAAAAAAAAGATGTTGAGACTCTAGAAAGAGTGCAGAGAAGAGCAACAAAGTTGATTAGGGGTCTGGAGGCTAAAACACATGAGTTGCAGGAATTGGGTATGTCTCGTTTAATGAAAAGAAAGACTAGGGGTGATATGATAGTAGCTTGCCCAATGTAGCATTAGGGTGAAAATGTCATTTTTTTCCATTTACTTTTTTAGGGACTACTGTAGCACAGTGAAAATAACAGACAATAATACTGTATTTCTTCAGAATTTCATTGAATTTATGGATCAATATTCACCCGAAAACCCTTCATGTAAGTATGGCTTTTTCAATAAATTGCTCTTCAGCAATAACACATCAGTTTAATTTACACAATAATGAAGTGAAACAAGTGGGAATGTTCTGAGATACAACAGATAGACCAAGATTTTACCAGTCTTGTTCCTTTGCTAATAATTTATTAGTAGTAGATAAATTATCTTCTTCTCTTCTCTTCTCTTCTCTTCTCTTCTCTTCTCTTCTCTTCTCTTCTCTTCTCTTCTCTTCTCTTCTCTTCCCTTCCCTTCCCTTCCCTTCCCTTCCCTTCCCTTCCCTTCTCTTCCCTTCCCTCATCTCCTTTTCTCTCTCTCCTCTCTCTCCTTTTCTCTTTTCTCCTTTTCTCTCTCTCTTCTCCTCTTCTCCCCTCCCCTCTCATCCTCTCCTCTCCTTTTCTCTTCTCTCTCCTCTCTTCTCTTCTTTTTTCATGGTAGGTAATGGTTTGGTGATGAGAGCTTTGTTGGATGCGGGCTTCACAAGTGACCTGGTCCAGAATTACTGGAGTAAGCAGGACCCGTGAGTATTCCTTCTTCGCTTCCTCTACCCCAGGCCATGAATAGCTCTATTATTTCTGAATCCTGATGCTACCTTCAGCTATCAGATCAGAACTTATTGTTTGAACAATCCAGCCAAAAGAAATAACACGATAAAATGAAGAATCTTTTTTGTTCTGCTTTAGAGGAACATTCTAAATAAGCTCTCGAGGATCCTGTCCTGTCCTTCTCAATTGATGTTGATCTAAAAAAATATTTCTCTTTCTAGCGAGGGAATCACAGCACGCTTCGTAGCTACGGATGGAGGGATCACCAGAGTATATCCCAAAAGGTAAAAGAGGGTCATTTAATCAGTAGGGGTGAGTTTGCTAATGAGTCATATGCTCAAACATCTGATTTGAGGCCAGAATTCCTGCAAAGTCCCACCAACATGGTGGGAATGAACAATTAAAATAATTGTAATGCAATAATTTGATCCCCCCTGCATAAAACACCTTAGCTGGGATCAATTTGAGAAAGGCTTCCTTTAAAACATGATACCGACTGCAGAGTATGTGGAACAATGCCCTGGTTTAGATCTTCAAAGTAAACAAAAGATATGTCGATCTGTAAAGTCACACTCTCAAAAAAGAAAGGGAAAATTGGGGAAAATTTCACCCAGGGGTTAGGAAAAAAGAAAAGCTTGCTCAGTTCACTCGCGCTACTGCTCAGTCTTTCTCAGTCCCTTCTTCCATCCAAATGTCCCAGCTTGGTCTTGCCGTAATGGCTGTCTTCTTTTCCTGCCAGTTTGAGGGCTTCCTCCGGACCTGTGAGGGGTTGCTTTCCTCCTCACGATCCACGGAGTGTCCCCTCTTCTTTATTACCTCTCTGGGGTGACTTTTGGCTCCCTGGGGGGGGCCTCCTGACAGGTAGAATTAGGCTGAATTAGCGGAGCCCCACTAACCCACTACCATATTGCCATGACGTCAGCCTCTCCTCCTCCCCAATACAGATTTTCAAACTAAAGAAAAAATATGTCGATCTGGAAAGTTTGTAACGGTAATTCTCACAAAATCCAAAGTGTGAGTTTTGAACATCCTTTAAAGCATACCAAAAAGAAAAAAGTTTAATCCTATTTATGTAGCAATAGTTTGAGTTCCAGCATGCTCCTTAAGAGCTGTTCTGGAAAAGTGTTGACTTTTTGGGACGGATAAACACAATTCTTTATTGTTTTCGTAGATTTTCACGGGTACAGGTATGCAGGTCTTGGTGTGTTCGGGTCTTTTCCCATGTAAGATTGAGAGTATCTTGGCAACGTTTCGACAACGACCCAGGAGATTACAGCACAAGACCCAGGATGTCAAAACAATAGAACTCAGAAGGTCATCACACAGCCCATTACCAAGGTCGTTACAACACAGGAGGCAAATAGACACACAGCCAATACCTCAGCCACACATGTTCTTACAAAAAAGCCAGCCAATCTGCAAATATCAACTCCATCAACCAATCAAGAACTGACAACACAGCCAACCTCCCCACCAGTATATATAGGGAGACGGCAGCTCCGATCACACTTTGCTCGCACAAGCACAAAGCTGAAAATATCAGCCTGAAGATGGCGAGTGGGACCTCGTCAAAACGTTGCCAAGATACTCTCAATCTTACATGGGAAAAGACCCGAACAAGCCAAGACCTGCAATTCTTTATTGAAATCTACTTTTGAAATTGTATTTTAGAAATGATTTACTTGCGATTGGAGTGCTTGCTAATTCAAGAAATGTAGTCTCAGAGGCCTCTAAATTTAGTCTCAGGTGTCACAAAAGGAATAGCTTCTGCATCACAACACCATTTCCACCATCTTGTCTTTGAGACAGATTCTATTATGTTTAACTCCATTTTTTAAGATTCTCAGTTACTATAGCTAATAGCATCAAGGATCCTACCATGTTTCTCCAACAATACGGCCTCCACCAATAGGAAGCCCCAGCATGATTTATTGGCATAAAATCAAATTAAGCCCCTCCCCCCAAATTAAGGCCCATATTAAACATGCTAAATGGGGGGGGGGAATGGCGGGGGGGCTTGCCGTTAGGAAGTACTTTGTTGCATGCCTGGATATGGTGCTGCCTGTGTTGGTGGGGCACTTCATATCGGGAGACTCAGTGCTCATGCTTTGCTCAGACGAGTGAATAGGAACATTTCGGGCACCTCCGCCGCCTCCTCCTCGCCCATTGCAGGTGGCGGCGGTGGCGGCAAGCTGCGGTGCTTCGCTGAGGGAAAAAGAAGACAGCGCAGCCGCCTTGCTTGCTTTCCCGCCTGCCCGCCCCAGCCAGCCTCAGGAGCAGCGGCGGTGGCAGCAGGCGTGCACGCTCCTACCGGCGAAGGGAGGAGAGGTGAGGAAAGAGAAGGGAGCGCAGCGGCGGCGGCTGTCACAGTATCGTCTCATAGCGGGGCAAGGCTGGCAAGCTGAGGTGGCCGCACCAGAGAGTGTCGCTGCCGACCCCGTCATGAGGATAAAGGAGCGGGATAGAGATTCAGTCAGACATCAGCCTCAGCTAGAGAAAAGAGCCAGCCTCTCGGAGCACGCAGGCGTCTCTCTGTGTGTGTGTGTGTGTGTATGAAAGAGCTCGCCTCGCTCGGAGCATTTGGCGAAACACGCGAGTTTCGCAGTCGGAGAGGGAGGTGACGGCAAAAAGGACGCGGTGGCATGGCAGGATGCTGCAATTGGGCAAGGTCAGGACCTTGCATTGAAGCAGCCTGGGGGGCACGCAGCCACCTCCCTCCAGCCCACCTTGAGGATTTGCCTTTTGTTGTTGGTATACTTGGCTTCAGGCGCTCCTGTCGCCGCCTTCCCTTTGCCTTAGAAGGTAAAGCAAATTATTTTTAAAACCTCCGCTCATCCCACCAGGGCCACGCCGGAGCCGTGCCAGCTGGGCAGAGCCAGGAAACACCCGCGGCTCGCTTTCCCGGCTCTGCCCAGCCCGCACGTCTACGGCGCGGCCCTGGTGGGATGAGTGGAGGTTTTTAAAATAATTCGCTTTACCTTTGAAGGCAAAGGGAAGGCGGCGACAGGAGTGCCTGAAGCCAAGTGTCTCCTCAGGGCTCCGGTTGCAGGGAGGAGCCCTGACTGACCGCACGTGGCTGCGCCAAACGCTGCGGCGTTGCTCTAACACCGTGGCAGCAAGGGAGAAGGAAAAGCAACGGTGGCGGAAGGTCTCCCGAAGCTGTCGCCGCCCGCCCACCCGAGGATGCATGGGGGGGGGGATTAAGTCACCCCCCAAAAGATGGCCTAGCCGTTTTTTCGGGGGTCAAAAAAAAAAAGGCCCGGCCTTATTATGTGGGAAACACGGTATTTCTCGGCTTGTTACTGATAACTGGCCAAGTATCTCAGCTGCTGTGTAGATATATTTATTTATTTTGGATGTTTTTATTGTTTCTTTTTTTAAATTGCTTTTGGGTTTTAATCATACTATATCAAAGATGCCCAGTCATCTTATAAAGGAGCAGCATAAACATTCAATCCATCAATCAAACAATATTTTTTTGAATTGTAAGTTGCCCAGAGTCATTGACTAACTGAGATGGCAGCTATAGAAGCTGAATGAATGAGTGAATGAATGAATGAACGAACACCAGAAAAGATAGTGCCTTGATTTCAAGAAGGCTTTTTGTCAGTATACCCATTTTGTACTTTTCTCATAATATTTTTCCCCTCAATCTTTATTTACTTAATGTCAGCCCTAGTGGGTAGATCACATCAGGAAACTGAATTCATTGGAAGGATAGGATTGGATAGGATAGGATAGGATAGGATAGGATAGGATAAAATAGAACAGAACAGAACAGAACAGAACAGAACAGAACAGAACAGAATAGAATAGAATAGAATAGAATAGAATAGAATAGAATAGAATAGAATAGAATAGAATAGAATAACAGAGTTGGAAGGGACCTTGGAAGTCTTCTAGTCCAACCCGCTGCCTAAGCAGGAAACCCTATATCACTTCAGACAAATGGTTATCCAATCTCTTTTTAAAAACTTCCAGTGTTGGAGCATTCACAACTTCTGGAGGCAAGTTGTTCCCCTGGTTAATTGTTCTAACTGTCAGGAAATTTCTCCTTAGTTCTAAGTTGCTTCTCTCCTTGATTAGTTTCCACCCGTTGCTTCTTGTCCTATCCTGAGGTATGGCAGCCCCTGAGATATTGGAACACTGCTAAGACCAAAATTATGCTTTATTGAGAGAAGATATAGGAACAGAATCAGAACACAACTGGTTGTGTTTTCCTTTTCACCCCATTTTATTCTCCAGAGAGTTGGAAGGAACACGTCTGAGTCTCTTTTTAAACCCTTCTCCACCTCCCTGGGCTTAAAACTTGCTTTTTTCTGTACCTGTTATTATCTTAATAGCTTCTGGGTGGCTTTGCCAAGCTCATCTCCCTGGCTCTCTGCCTTGAGTACCAACTGCCTTAGCACCATTTAAAACAACAACACAACCCAGTAAATTACAATTAAAAAAAATAATATCCATGTCTTACGTTTAGTGCAGGCGAATATTGGACAGAAAATGCGGAAACCTATGAACAGAGCTTCTACAAAAGGAGTTTAGATAATGAAAATTATATCTTCACAGCTCCATTCTTCAACCGTAAGTCGCTGGGCACTCAGAATATTCACAATCTTCTTTGGCAGTGCAGGTTCTATTATATGTTTTTTTAAAGTTTTTGAATATAGTGGGTGGAATTAGCCTGCACTACTGCATTCCGACCCACTGTGCCATCACAGCTAAATGGAGAATTTTTTGTATTGCAAACAGAAAATTCAATAGTAATCTTCAACTCTGCAATTGTTTATTGTTAACACCAATCTTTTTGCAGTACCTATTCTGGATAGCAGTGCACAATTTAACAATTGTTACACAAAGGTGCAATTTTAGATAAATCTGAAAGAAAGAAAAAAGGATACATAAAGGCTATAATGCTCCCTATAAATTTACCAATACTGTAAAATGGTGCCGAGAGATTTGTGGAAAGCCACACTTAACCTAAACTTTCACGTTGGAAATATATACACATATATATTTCCTTGATCTTTTTAATAAGACCGTATATTCCCAGGCAGAATTCTACTCATGTCTGAACAATGATCATTATTATTTCTGATAATTTTATTTGTGGGCATCTTGTTTTCTGATTGCATCACAGAGTCCACCTAAATCTTAGTAAACTATTCAGTAACAAACTCCTTTTTGCTTAGTGTTCGAATACAGATGTGAGTAGAATGATGTCATTTTGGAGTTAATCTGAACAGGGGGAAACAAGAAATGCAAAATAAGGCGGATGAATGATTGATTCCTAATGCACCAGTGTCATCCAAGGGCCATTGGTGCTATTGATAAAGAGACATGTCATAATGGCAAGTCAATTCTATTTTCTGTTTCTGAATCCTCAGGAAGCATTTATGAAGATGGCATCATGGTAAGCAAGGGTGTGAAGGTCACTGTGAACGGAAAACTTCTGAAACCAGCAGGTAGGAATGAACGGGACTGTTTTTCCACACAGAAATATAATTCATTATTGACCATAGTAATTTCAATAAGACAAAGCCAGCATTCAGAATCATCTAAGGGGGATGAGGTTTGAATTCTGGAGACCAAGAAATTCTAAGAATGGTATAAGAAAAGAAAAAGCATGTCCAGAAGATGATAAATAGATAGATAGATAGATAGATAGATAGATAGATAGATAGATAGATA